GGAATTGTGGCCTTCTGAGGACCCTGGAGGGGCTGGAAGGATGGGTCAAGGCGCTTGAAACTCTGTTGCTAGATCTGGGTCACAGTCTGTGCCTGGATGGATTGCAATATTAACACAGGGCTTTGTGACAGATTCTCCCACAAGAGTCACACACAGAGGTGGGACCTATTGGCCAGAGACCCCCTCAAGTCAGGTTAGGAGGCAGATTGGTTCTCAGGGCCCCTTGGTTCTCTGAGCTACTGATCAAGCCCCGGAGACAGTAACTCCCTCTTGGTGCATTCAGATTCCTCTTCACACCTGCTGCGTTCCCTCAAGCACTCCTCCCTCTGTGCCTGTTTCTCTTCTGTGTGGACACATTCCTGTTCTTTGGTTCCTTTATTCTTTCAATTGGAGTTCCTTAAAATAGTTACTTAGCTTTAAATTTTCTCCCACAGATCTTTGTAAGAAGAAGCAAGTCCTCGATGCTACTGGGTGCCATTATGTTTGGCTCTAACAATCTACTCGTTATGGTTTAGCAGAGAGGTGTCCCCAAAAGATCACATGTGAGACAATGTGAGTATGTTCAGAAGTGCCAGACTGGATTGTAAGCGTTGTAGCCTACCTAATGGGTGGATCACCTGCTGACGTGCATTCTCGGGGTGATGAGTGTGGGCGGGTAGGGTGGGACTGGAGGGGGTGGCTTATGGGGTGTTCCTGATGAATGGAGCTCTGTCTCCTGGTCTCATGCCTGGGCGTCCTTCCTCTGGGCACCTCTGCCCTGATGTTCTGCTTCATCCCGGCCCAGGGCAATGGAGTTGGCCAGCCACGGACTGACCTCTGAAACAATGAGCCAAAGTGAACTTTTCTTCCCGTATGTTGTTCTTGTCAGGTCTTTTTGTCACAGCAGGGAAGAAGCTGCCTTGCACCCTGCCAGACACTGGCCCAAAGTGTGGTGCTGCCTCCTCTTCCCACCAGCAGTGCAGGGTGGGCAGTGCCTGCACCGTGGCCAGTGCTGGGGAAGCCTGTCTCAAGAATCAGGCCTTCTGAGAGTGCTCGGAGCCTCACACTTGGCTCTGGCCCACATTTCCCAGAACTTGCGGTGCTGAGTGTCTTGGCTCTGTGCTTATTTGCCATCTGTTTATCTCCTTCAGTGAAATGTCTCTTCACATAATTTCCCCATGTTTAGTTGAACTTGGGAGAGTTTTTCAGGCACTCTGGACACAAGTCAGTTATGTTATTTCTAGATCTTTTCCAGACTTGGACTTCCCCCTTTTGCTTCTGTTTTAGGAGCATTGCTACCAAGACCTCCCTAAGGGATGGCTGGTGGAGAGAACGAAGTGGGGAAAACTACGTCGAGGCCTTTGGTTGGTGGTGGGCTCTGGGGGGGTACAAACCCATCATGCCAGTGTTTTCTTCAAGTCATTAGTGGATATTTTCTGCAATATTTGACTTAGGCTATAATTTAAAACCATCGGCCCTTCACAGCTGGCCTGTGAACAGCTTCAATGGCAGGTCAGTGGACGATATCCCTTCCCACAAATAGGCACAGGGTGACTTAATATTCACATCCAGAAAAATGAGCTTTGTTCCTTGTTCTGTGCCGTAGACAAATACTAACTCAAAATGAATCTGAAACACTAGTGTAAAACTACAAACAATAACACTTCATGAAAAAAAATGTATGAGAATCTTTGTAATCCTGAATTAGATACAGTCTAGATACAGTTTAGATCCTGTCTTAGATATAGTATAAAAAATACTTAACAAAATCTGGGTAATAATGATTTTATTAAAATTAAAATTTTTGCTCTTTAAATGGCAGTTCTCCGCATGGATAAGTTGTACTGCAAGAAAGTAGTCTATGCTTGGTGATTCACTTCTTGACTGAAAATTCTGTAAAGTGAAAACTTATCTATAGACACGAAGCAGATTTGGGGCTGTTTGGGATAGTGAGAAATGGGCCGATGGGTGAGGGTCAGATTTACAAAGGAATGTGGGGAGTTTGGGGGGCGTGAAGATATGATCACTACATTGACTGTGGTTTCACAGATACGGAGATACATACACTCATATATATATATACATGAGTGCATATATATTACCAAATTGTACTTTTAATTATACCTTAATAAAAATGTTGGGGAAAAGGCCTTGTGCCAAGTGGAAAAGCCAGCGATGAAAGGCTTCAAGCTGAATGACTTCACCTGTGTGTCTCTTGAGTCAAGTCCATGCTACTGGGAAGAAAAGAAGAGGGGTGCATGTCCGAGGTCACAGGTTGGGGGAGACTGTCTGAAGGGACAAGGGGATATTTTAAAGGATGGGAAACCTTCGTAACTTTGATTTTGGTGTTATTTGTGTGACTATATCCGTTTGTCAAAATTAATTGGATACCAAATTTTTCCATGTGTCATTTGTAAATCAACAAACTTTATTAAACACAAAATGAAAACATCCACAGCTGCTCCAATGATTGAGATGCATGAGAAGAATTTAGGCTGCTTGGGGACAGATTCAGGGGGATATCACATGAACTGGGCTATGGTTCACACTCCCCAGGGTGAGGACGACACAGATCTGCAGGTCCCAGGGTTGGGGGGGGCGCTCACCTGGATCATGCAAACCTGCCTTCCTCAGGTGCTCAGCCTGAACAAGCCCATTTGGCATCCTTTGTTGGGATGAATGAGGAAAGAAACAGCCATCCTAAATCCCTGGTGCTGGGCTGCAGTGGGGTTCAACTTTGGGTCTTCCTGCCATTAAGAGTCTGAGAAGATTGAACAACCCACTTCCGCCCTTTGGATCTCAG